AGCATGGGGAGAGTGCTGCACGCACTCATGGGCAGCCCTTTCTTGGGGAGGGTGTCTGAGTAATACAGAGCACAGGTAGTTTGCTGGGAACTCAGCTGCTGCTGCTGTAGATCAAGTAGCTGCTTTTCAACTATAAACATTAAGCTGACTGGTGTATTTTTTTTTTATTATAATGCTTTGGATACTTCCTTTAAATTTGCAAAACAGCAGTATATTTGTTGCTGTCCAACAGGTGGGAAAAGTGTTAGCTTTTTAACAGAAGATCTAATTTTATCATTAATCAGCTCATCATGTTCAATTTTCTTCAAAACACTAATAACAAATACACTAGGTCATACGAGTTCTGCCAGTTTGTGAATCTGTTAAATTCCTTCTGTCATTTCAGACTGAAAACAGTTTGACTTTACTAAGAGAAAGAATTTGCAGAGATCTGATCCTTTCCAGTAAAGACTGGAGAGGAAAAAAAGAAAAAGGAAGATCCTAGTTCTTATAGAAATGCCTTTATTTTCTTGTATGGGTAGGAAACATGGTATGAATGCCACTGTTCAGATACAAAAAAATAGATAGTTCAAAGAGAAATTTGTCTGGTATTGAAGGCATTTTTATGTGAATGCTGAGAGTCTCATAAACATAAGTAATTTGTGAGGTTGTTTTTATCAGATCCCCGGGAAAAGCCAAAGGCTTGCAGATGTATAAAATACTTGGGTTACTTTAGTGAATAAATTTGATGATAAAATGAATGTGATTGAAGTGTGGCCAAAACTGCTTGGTTAGGCTTAGATGTATGTAGTCCATCTCTTGGTGGAGTGCTCTTCATCATGCTGTCACTTACAGGAGGTGCTGATGTTCCTGGTATCTTGTGAATTAAACCTGCTCTCTCCAACTTAGGTACAAGCATTTCTTCAGAGACCTGCTGGAGAACACCTGCCCAGACAGTGCTGAGCACCTCAAAATTGCAAGTATGATTCCACCTGTAGATGCTGACACTTTGGTCAGTGATAGCCTCCTTGCTAATATTTGAATTCCCACTTCCTGCCTGCTTCCACAGAAGAAAAATATTCCTCTCTGTGGGGCTCTTGTGGATTACTATTTCCCTTCTCCATTTTGATCAAGATATCGCTGAGAACACATTGGGAATAAAAATGTAGAGTAACTGTCTGTGAAAGTGGCCTAAGGGTTAAATTGGAGAAATGGCAGCTCTATTTTTTTAATTTTTATTTTTAATTCTTTTTTATTCTGATGGTGGTGAGGCACTGGCACATGCTGCCCAGGGAACTTGTTGATGCCCCGTACCACCAAGGGTTCAAGGCAAGATGGGGCCCTGAGCAACCTGGTCTACTGGAAGGTGCCCCTGCCCATGGCAGATGGGTTGGAATGAGATGATCTTTAAGGTCGATTCCAACCCAAACCATTCTATGACTCTCTTCGTCACATGCCTCAATTTTCTAGGGTAATTCATGTCCTTCATGCCATATCCAATCACTAGTGGTGTTCCCCAGGGATCAGTACTGGGCCCAGTCCTCTTTAATATCTTATCTATGATCTGGACGAGGGGATCAAGTGCACCCTCAATCAGTTCACAGATGACACCAGGTTGGGCAGGAGTGTTGTTCTGCTGGAAGGTAGGAAGGTTCTGCAGAGGGATCTGTACAGGCTGGATCGATGGACCAAGGCCCAGTTGTGTGAGGTTCAACAAGGCCAAGTGCTGGGTTCTGCACTTGGGTCACAACAAACCCCTGCAGTGCTCCAGGCTGGGGGCAGAGTGGCTGGAAAAGGACTTGGGAGTGCTGGTCAACAGTGGCTGAACATGAGCCAGAGCGTGGCCAGGTGGCCAAGAAGACCAATGGCACCTGGCTTGTGTCAGCAATAGTGTGGCCAGCAGGACCACGGCAGTGACTGTCCCTCTGTACTCAGCACTGGTGAGGCTGCAACTCGACTCCTGTGCCCAGTTTTAAGCCCCCCACTGCAGGAGACACATTGAGGTGCTGGAGTGTGCCCAGAAAAGGGCAACAATTTGGGGAAAGGTCGCCCACAAGTCCTATGAGGAGCAGCTGAGGGAGCTGGGGGTGTTTAACCTGGAGAAGAGGGGGCTCAGGGGGCACCTCATCACTCTCTACAACCACCTGAAAGGAGATTGTAGCCAGGTGGGGGTCGGCCTCTTCTCCCAGGGAACAAGTGACTGGACAAGAGGAAATGGTCTCAAGCTGTGCCGGGGAGGTTCAGGCTGGACATCAGGAGGAATTTCTTAATGGAAAAGGTTATTAAACATTGGAATGGGCTGCCCAGGGAAGTGGTGGAGTCACCATCCCTGTAAGTGTTCAAGAACTGACTGGATGTGGCACTTAGTGCCATGTTCCAGTTGATAAGGTGGTGTTCACTCAAAGGTGGGACTCAATACTCTGAGCGGTCTTTTCCAACCAAAATGATTCTGTGATATTTACAAGCAGTTAACTGAAGTAACACCACTTGTAGGGCTTTTTCCTTTTCTGCTTCCAAGTTATTCCTCTGTCTAATGTTTCATTGGTAAATGTTTTCTAGAGCTTCAGAATTGTTGATTGGAGAGAGGCCTCTGGAGGTAAACTACTCCAATCTCCTGCTGAAATTCCTGAATAAAACTGCTGTTGATATTTGGTTTAAAACTTTGCTTCTTAATTTCATATTATCTTTTCTTAGCAAATAGCTAAGGTGAAATATATACTCATTTGTGACAACCTCAGAATATGCTGCTGTAATTTCAGAGGCTGTGAAATCTATATCTGAGATATCTCAGTGGGTCCAAGGCATAACTGAAAAAAGAGAGAACTCATTGCAGCTGCTTCGGGTTCAGAAACTGCTCAAAGGACAGAAGACCCAGGTTTTCACTCCAGGTGGGTCCTACTGACAGCTCTGTTTTTCTTCTACCATGCTGAGATACATGAAGGTATGCTCTCCTTCACCTCTGACTCAACTCACATTAACCATTTTTCCCCTTCTGCCCAAATTACATAGAGAGGTGGTGAAAGAATATGACTACTAATTCAAGCATTTTTTTTTTAAAGTTAAGCATTTTTTAGTAAGGATAAGCAACATCTTAATTGCCTGACATTCAGGTAGGAGGAGCTGATGACATGTAGTTAAAAAGTTATGAACCCAAGGAAGCCAGGATTTTAAGTCCTGGGTGGGAATGAAAGACAGACATTAAAAATTTTTTAAAAGACTGTAAATAGTGGCATTGTCTCTACTCCATTGCAGGAACCACAGATTTCTGAGTGTCAAGGGCCCAACCACTGTGTTATTGTTTATCTTAAGCCATAAGATTCATGGAATTCTGCTCATACCTTTCATATGAAGAATTGTCTTTTATTTATTCTTTTTTTTTATTTATTCTTTTATTTATTTCTTTGCCAGAAATCAGCATATTTGTGTTGATAGCTGAGATATATAAAATCACAGTCACTGGCATGTAAGAACATTTAATAGGATAACTGGTTTCTATGACCTCTTGTGTTACTGGGTGCTCTCCAAGCCCAGACCACGCTCCAAGCTGTGTAAGGAATATTCTGATACATGCGCCCCATCTGGGAAATTATGAAATGGTCACCTGGGGTTTCACCCTCCGCTATTGCAGAGGTTATTCAGGCACAGTGCTGCAGCTGGAGAGGAGTGTTAAAGTCACTGTGTGTGAAGGCACAGCTCCAGGTACTAGTGAATGTGGTTGTAATTCATACCTGTGGATCTTTGGGTGAAAGACACATTCCACAGCGGGATGAAGGAGAGATTCAGAAGGGTAAAACTGACAAAGCTCGTGAGCTGAGACGAAGACAGTTTAATAGATAAAGTAAAAGCTGTTCATGCAAGGAAAACAAAGCAAGGAATTCATCCACCACTTGCCATGGGCAGACAGGTATTCAGCTATTCCCAGGAAGGCTGGGCTCCCAACACACACAGTGGGAGACAAATGGGAAGACAAATGCCATCACTCCAAACACCCCCCTTCCTCCTTCTTCTCCTAGCTTTATATGCTGACCATGGTGCCACATGGTATGGAATGTCCTTTGGGGAGTTGGGATCAGCTGTCCCAACTGTGTCCCTTCCCAGCTTCACATGCACCCCCAGCCTCCCTATTGGTGGAGTGAGGAGCAGGAAAGATCTTGATGCTGAGAAGTGCTTACACAGCAACAAAGAAAAGATCCCTGTGTTGTCAATGCTGTTTTCAGTGCAAATCAAAACCAGCCCCATAGCAGTTACTATGGAAAAAAATTAACTCTATACCAGCCAAATCAGCCAGGCTGACAAAGGTTGTTTATCAGAGGTCACTCTCAAAAGTGCTTAATCAATGGGCAGATAAATTTAAAATTCTCTTCCCCGTTCTTACAATTTTTCTCATGATGCCAGAGGAAAGGGAGCTCACACAGGTGTGCTCTATTTACAAGGGAGCAGGAGCATGTGGTGGGGGGCCTGGGCACATTCGGGTAGTGCATAAGTAAAAAGGTAAATCAGTTATCCTGAATGCCAGAACTAATAAGATAACCCCTTTTTTAAAAAAAAAGAACAAACAAACCACCCAAAACATTACAGCTAGACCAGAGATGGCCATCATTTGAAAGTGTTTGGTCCATAGGTTTTTTGGTCTTTGAATATTCTGAGACATGTAGCAAGGCAAGTGTTGAGGGTCTGTAGAGGCCTCTCCATTATCTAGGATAGGGAATTTTTATGGTCATGTTTTCCATTGCCTGGAGTTACACAGGTACTCTTGGATGTGTGAAGCAGAAAAGTAGAGGCAACTGGAGCTTGCTAGTTTTGAGTCAGCTTTCCAGAAACAAGCTAGTTTTTTTCAGAACTGTTAAGATTGTGTCCTGCCACCAGGAGGGAAATAAAAACATAATTCTGTAGATTCACAGAAAGGAGGAGCTTTGGAGTTGGGTATCTCACATTTGGCAGTCTCTCAGATGTACTGCTCCCAGTGAAGAGACCCTGCTTTTCTTGCTGCATTCCATATTTAGGGCAACTACCATATTAACCAGAACTGCCTCCTTAATTTAGCACACTGTTCTGTCATCCTGAGCTTCCATAGGGATATTTTCTTGCCCTCCTTTCACAGCCATTTCCTAAATCTTGTGCCCCTGGTAATCCATGGATTTAATCCATAATCCAAGATTTCCAGTACAGTCCAGGACAGATTGTATACCTGAGAGTCTAAGCACAGCTTAGCCTGAGGGGAACGGTTTCCCAGTCCAGTCCCATGTTGCTGACACCTTCCTTTTATTTATTTCTTAAACTTTGATTGATTCCTGCACTTGATTCCTTCTCTTTCTCACGTTCTAATTCAGACAAGAGGAGTGGTTCCTGTGGAATAAGATAAGCAGGAATTCACCTGCCTCTTCGTTTTGTGATTGTAGCATACTAAGTAAGACACAATCCATAATTAAACAAAACCGTGATTTTTTTCTAAAAGGTACTTAATAGCTCGTGCAGAAGCTAAGGCATGAAAAACAGTGGCAGAAATTCCCTGGCAGGTGTTTCCTAGACAAGGCCAGGTGGCAATACCTAATTACAGCTTTATATTTTTACAAATAATCTCACTGGCAGGTGCCTTCATAATTTCCATGAGTTGATGGCTATCTTGCACAAGAATCCTAGTTAAAGGTCCTGCTTTAATTATTCCATTTTGTGTAGATGCCATTTTTTTAATTGCCGCTTTTTAATTGCTGCTTACAGCTGGGTTTATCTAATTGCTTTAATTATTTTTCTGCTGCTTTCTCTTCCTTTACTTTTATTGCAATTCATTTCATGGGTGGATGACACTGGGTTCTGTTCTGTAAGAGAGGCTGATAAGGTTGCCTTATTTTATATCCCCTTTCTTATTTTATATCCCCTTTGCTTAGAACAGTAATCTGCATCGTGCAATCCCTTAACTACTGGAGGTCTGTATATAATTAGGTGATCTGTGAAACATGGAGGGTTTGGTTTTTCTGGCGTTTTTCTTTTTTTTTAAATTTATTTAATTTACACACACAAGCAAGCAACAAAATACTACATTTTCAAAGCTTAGGCTAACTTGTTTCGCCACTAATGATAAACAAACGGGCAACACAAAGATTGTTCATGGTGTGTTTTCTGAAGGCTTATTTTAGTTTAAAGGTATGCGTACAATTTTAAAACCATGTTTTTGTTCTGATCTTTTTAAACAGGCTTGCCTATCATAATATCCTCTTAATTAACAAAGTAGATTTATAACAACTTCAGCCTGCTCCTAAACGTTTTGGGCTGGTACTGCTTTTGTATGGGTGTTTTCCGTGTTGGTGGGCTGGACCCAGCTGATACTTCAGTGCCTTCTAGTGGCTGGAATTGATGTAGAACCCGGTAACCTACAAGGGTGGCTCACGCTGTATTGCTGTTTGTCTCATTACATCCTTCTTTCCCCCCTCCTCAAGTGATCTGACAACTGTCTGCTTCCCTTGCATGCCCAGGGCGCTGGTACATCAGGGAAGGCTGGCTTTTGGTGGTGCCTTCAAAGGGAGAAGAACTGAAGCGCAGGATGTTCTTCCTGTTCTCTGATATCCTCATTGCAGCAAAGCCCTGCCACCCCCTGCACCCGCTGAACTCGCACAAGCTGGCGTGCCAGGCTGTTTACCCTCTCCACCAGTGCACCGTGGATAAAGTGTTCGGCCACACGCGGAGCCAGGGAGGGCTCCTCAGTGTAAGTCTCCCCACTTCTGCCTGGCAGGAGTGCCAGTGGAGTCAGACTTGGAAGCAGGTTTCCAGCTGTCTCAGCAGCAGCAGGACTGAGACGATGAGACTAGTGACAAAATGCAATGAGCTAGTCTGAGTCAAGGCAACTCTTCTCTTTTTGAGTGGTGTAGGTCCTTTTCCTTTCATGGTGTAGGCCCTCCTGCACGCTCTGGGGTACAGGTTGCTGCTGGTTGCTTCACTTAGCTCAGGTGAGGAGGGTCCAATAAGACTTTGACATGCCCTCATCAGAGCCACAGGTTTGGGGGGACAGCCCCCCGACATGTGACAACGAATACACTGACTGTGGGCTGAACTTACAGAAAAACAGAGAATGAGGGAGGTGTATTATCACAACAGATATTGCCTGTGCATCAAGCTCCCTGAGGGCTGCAGGGTCCTTGGCAGGGACCAGTGTCCTCAGTAGAGGTTTCAAAGTCAGTTCTTCCAAGGTTGCAGGACCTGGGGCTGTGTTATCTCATTCCTTGTGAGCTGCGACAAAGAACACTTCGAGCAATCTGTGACCTGGTGGTAGTGGAAGGACCCCGAGGGACAGCTTGGAATAAGGGAGAAAACTGAATGAAGAGCTGCTAAGAACTGCCATTGCTCATCTCCAAACAGCATATAAAGTCAGAGTGAGCTGTCAACTGTGGCTGGAAAGAATGGTCAAGTCTGGCACTTGCTCTCTACTGTCCAGCCTCTGGCTTCTCCCAGTACTAAAGCTAAATTTTTCAGTCTGGGAAGGAAAATGGTGAAAATCAGCATGCAGAGATGAGTTGAATTCAGTAGTGATGATTCTCCTTTAATCAGAATTGCTGCCTAGGCAAGGAATGCCACAGATTCTGTTTGCCTTTCAGCTTTCCTTTCCACACAAGGCACTGCTGTTGATGTCCAGCGACCAACAAGATATCAATGACTGGTATCGGAGTCTCACAGCTGCAGTCAGGTAGGCATCTCTTTTCCAGAGGTGGAAGGGGCTGAGAGTAAGGGGACAGGACATAAAAATGATCATATAGGCCTGTGTATGGTTATAAAGGTGATAGAGAAGGACTGGCTCTGGCAGCCAGGAACACAAGGAATTGTATGAACAGATTTCACCTATAAAGTGGCCTTTCCATTTGTTTTTCTCTACAGGCAGCTGAAAGCCTGATGTACTTGAGTACAAGACAGACTGGCAAGACAACCACTGTGTAGGCAGAAGCATACACAACCTTAGAAAATGCTCAGGGGCATATAGTAGAACTGCATTTAGAGGGACTACACACTGTGCTTGTGAGATGACGAATGCTTTGTCAGCTGTCCTAATGTTCATTCAGACACTGCAAAAAACAAGTGTGCACACTAAGCATTTGTGTATAAAAAATAAGTATCAAGAATTTTCCCCAATTTAGTTTAGAAGCTTCTAGCTTTTCTGCACTTTTGTAAACTCAGATTATTAAGGACAAGCAGACGAGAGCCTGATTTGCTTTCCCTCATTAAATGTTTTTATTCAACCGTCTTTCTAAACCAGTTTTCACGCTCATTTGTCTATGTATGTGTCCAGCTGCTCATGCTTCTGGGTCCTGTGACCAAAATGTGTGTTTTGGGTAGTGGTAATATGGACATTACACTGTATTTCCTGCCAGTGGTGCAGGCCACAGTCATCTTATCAAGAAGCATTCACATTTATAATCTGAATACTAAGAGATTATGCAGCTGAAACAGCTCTTGCCTTTGCCTGCATGTTTTGCAGTGCCTTATTGCTTTGAAATCCTGCAGAGAAAACCTTTGGCAGCACCTCTGCTCCTGATCTCCAGGGAAAATCTCCAGGGGCTACAGTCAGCATCCTGGGTCATCAATCCCTGGTAATGTGCTAGGGTTCAGTTTACTCGGATGCCAGACCACTTGAGGAATAAATACAGAAAACGTATTATTCATGAGGATTTTGTTAAAGCCTCAGCATGGACTTTTAACACTGTGGAAGCTCTGCAGCAACAGCAGTTTGATTCATCTCCCTACAAAGAGGGCAAATTCAAGGCTACTAGAGACAAAGATTAAGGTCTGTCTGAACACTGACCTTTCAGCATTTTGACTGTTTTTTTCTTCTTCCTTAAGCAGTACACGTCTTTAATTTCACACTGGGTTCACTAAAACAGAGAATACGTAACCTTAACTTTTTGTCTTTCCATACAATTAACTTGCTCCATGGGATCACTCATTTAAATGTCTTAAGTCTGTAAAACTTGGGAGGGAGGAAGGAATGAAACAGGGGTTTTGGAAGCCACACCAGTTCCACCATGTTTTACCAAGAAAGGTCAGAGTAGATATCCTTGAGGTCCCTTCCAACCTGGTGATCTATTCTGTGATACCATGTTTCGGTTGGTTTAGGTGGTTTTTTTTTTTCACTGCAAAGGTACAGCTAGGACTTTCAAGTACTAGCTGTGCTTGAAATCAAAGACAAAGCTAACAACTAAAGATCCTTAAATAACTGAAAAAGTCCTGCCATTCTTCCTTTTTGTTCTCATTAGGTAACATAGAGACTTCCTGTAATCCTGCACCCGAAGCTGGGATGTCTACCAAGCTCTTCCTAGAGATGGCAACAACTCCTACTTGTGCTGCCACCTTATTATAAGACAAGTTCCTTTGATACTGTCTCTTTATAAGACTTATCTCAGTGTTACCACCCTATTTGCATTCAGTACTTTTTGAAACAGCAAAAGTATCTAATTTTTCACTGAACTTCCTACCCTGAAATGCTGCACACTGGCTTCTAGGAAACAATGTAGCTATTGTTTCCTAGAAGCCAGTGTGCAGCATTTCAGGGTAGATGCTGCCCCAGAGCAGGGCTGTGTGACCAGAACCTCTAACAAAGCCAGGTTTTGCTGGAGTGTTACTAATGCTCATGCACAAGAATTAAGCTGTGCCAGGGGAGGTTTAGGTCAGACATTAGGAAGAATTTCTTCACAGAAAGAGCGATTAGACACTGGAATGGGCTGCCCAGGGAGGTGGTGGGGTCACTGTCCCTGGAGGTGTTTAAGGAAAGACTGTACATTGCACTCATTGCCATGGTCTAGGCGGAATGGTGGTATTCAGTCACAGGTTGGACTCAACGATCTCAGAGGTCTTTTCCAACCTAACTGTTTCTGTAAACATAATTCAAACAGAAGCAAACTGAACTTTCTGAACAAAGTTTATTTACACAGAGAACATCAACCACCAGGGCTCCTAGCTTGATTTCCTCCTCTTGCCGAGTCTCTATTCAAACCACGGGAAGAAGCAAGTAAACTGTGCGCGCCTCCCATGGCAACCTCAGGTTAGTGACCAACCTCCAGCCCTCCCGACACACTCCTTCCATTCCCGTGCTCCAGGACAGCCTCTCGGGGCACGGGGGGACCCCTAGACAGGGGTGCCCGGCGGGGCCGCCGCCCTTTGCAGGTCCTCCCGGTAGCCCTTGAGCAGCTGGTTGAGCAGCGTCTTCTCGGAGTCGCGGCGCGGGCGGACGAGCGGCGGCAGCGGGTTCCCCTTCAGCTCGATCACCGCCATCTTCGCGCGGTCCAGCGCGTCCCGGTTGGGGATCTGCAGCATGCGCGTGTAGCTCCCGGGGTGCGGCTGGAACCGCGGCGCCAGCACCTTGAACAGCTTGTGGATGAGGTCCTTCTCCTGCGGGGCGGCACGCTCAGTCAGCTCCGGCACCGCGGCGGGATGAACAGGAGGGATCCGGGGCTGGGAATGCGGGGGTGGACGGGGGGGTACTCACCGTCAGCCAGAAGTTCGCCATGCGCATGGCTCGCTCGTCCGTGTCCCCCCGCTTGGCGTAGTCGATGAGCTGCGGAGAGGAAGGAGGCGGCGGATCAGGGCCCCTCGGCCGCCCGCCCGCCACCCCCGCCCTAAACCCCGGCCCGGCCCGGCCCGGCCCCGCCGCTCACCCGCTCGGCGTAGCCGCGCATCTCGTCGGCCCGCGCCCAGGGCGTCTCGATGCGCTCATGGCGCACCAGCGCCGTCACCAGGTTGCGCAGCAGGTCCAGGCGCCCCTTCGGGCCGGACCCGAGCCGCCGGTACACGCGGCCATGCGAGATGGCGGCCGCCACCGACAGCCGCATCCCGCCGACCTTCCCCGCCGCCCGCCCTTCCCGGCCGCCGGCACCGCCTCCCGGCCTCCGCGCGCCGCCCGGGCGCTGCCGGGAGATGTAGTCACAGATGTGGCCTCAGGATCGCGGGGTGGGTCAGGTTGGGAGGAACCGCTCTGGAGTCATCTGGTCCAAGCTCCCTGCTCAAACATAGCACGGATTTGCGTCCAGAGGGTTCCTGAATATCTCCAGTAAGGGAAACTCCACGATCTCTTTGGGAAATCTGTTCCAGTGCTCGGTCACCCACAGTAGAGAAGTTCTCCCTCATTTTCAGGTGGAACTTCCTGTGCATCTCGCCCCGTTGCTCGGTACCACCGAGCAGAGCCTGACTCTATCCTTTTGACACCGTCCCTTTAGAGACACGTTGATAAGGTCCCCTCTCAGTCGTCCCTTCCTCCGGCTGAAGACGCCCCGTTGCCTCAGCCTTTCAGTACAAAGAGAGATGGTATAGTCCCTTAGTCATCTTTGTACCCCTCGCCTGGACCCGCTCTAAGACCTCCACACCTCTCTTGTCCTGAGGTGCCCAGAACACAGCGCTCCGGATATGTCCTCGGCAGTGCTGAGTAGAGGGGCAGGATCAGCTCCCACTGCCGCTGGCAATGTTGTTCCTAACGTAGTCCGGCCCGCAGCCGCGTACCGGGACAGGGAAACCGGGACAGACCCGGCAGAGAGAGGCGGAGGTGCTGCTGGCGCTAAAGGGCCGCACTGCCCCCGGGTCCCGCTGCCGGTCCCGGCGGTCTTTTGCTGCTTCTTTTAAAACTATCGGACGCAAGTTAAATAGCCACTCAGATTTTAAAATGTCTAGCTTGATTAAACTGCTGTGTAAGTGATTAAAATCAAAATTAAACTGCATCATCATGTCATATGACTATACCATCTGGCTTTCCCCAGATGCAGACGCTAAATGACTCTGCTTTTCATGAATTCTTGTCAGTTCTGTTCTGTTATCATCATTCAGTCATGGAAAAATAAAATTCCAAGTACAACTGGGAACGTCTTTGTCTACCTTTTCATTCTTAGATCTGCTAACCATAGATTTTTGTCTTTAACATTTTGCTTCCACTATCTACTTTGTAAAATCTAAGACAGTTGTTACTATGATTGTTCCAGCCTTTTTTTTTTAATTTCTTTCTTCTTGTTTATGTTTCAGTATGATTTACAAATGCTTTTCGTTTTACTTTGCGTTACCCAAGTCCTAGGTCCCAGCAGTGGAGCCGGATCCCACCAGGAATGACAATCAGCCCGGTGTACCAGCCCTGCTGCTGTCCCTGTGGCATCGGCAGGCAGGGTGGGCTCTGAGGGGAGGAGAGAATGCAGCCAGGCTCCCCGCTGCCGCTCACTACAGCTGTGATGGGGCACAGCCCGCAGGATGCTCCTGGGGCTGCAGGGAGCGGCTGGGCCACGTTCGAGGGGCAAGCGAGGCCTGACAGAGCCTGTGTCTTTATTCCCCTCTTTTCCACAGTGCTGGTGGCAGGATGTCAGAGAGCTTCAGACCCCTGTAGCACACGCCCAGGCTGTGCAGAAACTGCACACTGACAGAGTGGGGTAAGGCTGCTGCATCCAGCCTCACACAGCACAGGAGCCACCATCCATATAGCAGAGCTGGTGCTGTGCTTTATTCCCACAAAGACTGAAACCCACATTAGTTTGCAGGAGCTGATTCCTCATAGTCAGAGAACTATGGCAGTATGTGTACCTCAGTTCCAAGAAAAATGCCAGAAGGCAGCACAAGGAGGTTTCCCTCCATTTGTTTCTTTCAGCCAACATTGCTGTATTTCAGAGAAAGTGATGTGTAACAAAAGCAGCTTCCAACAGTCTAAGAAAAAATATCTTTGTTATTATGAATACATCATAAAATCACAGTCATCTTATACACATTTTAGTATTTCATATATAAATAAAGTGAACAGTATAGTTATTGGAATGTGTAATAGGAACAAACATACGGATTTTAATGTGAAATTGAGAGACTTGGACTCCACCCCCATCTTTTGTTGCTGCTCTGGGACTTGGCATATTAACTCTGAAACACTTCTAGGAAGAAGGCTATGTAAGCTGTGATGCCAATAATAACTCCAGCCATTACCCTAATTCCATTTACAATCAATTTTCCTCTTCTTTTCCTGATTTAGCATGACAATATAAAATTCTTCCATGCCAGAATTACAGCTTTGTAAGAAAGACTAAACCTGTATGTACTTGGCACAGCGTTGAAAGAAAACATTTTTCAAGATTCATGATTTTGTTAATCCCGTTAACAATCAATTTTCCCACCACTACACACTCTCGCAAATGTTTCCATTAAATATATTTCTAATATTAATAAAATAACAAATTCTTTATTATCCTTCTGCTTATAACTTGATGTATTAACATCAAAACAATATTTCTTTCTAATAA